AGGATAATAGATATGAAGTTAATCTCCCGTTTATTGAGGGTCATCCACATATCTTAAGTAATTTTGAGATAGCTAAGCAAAGATTATTATCGACGACAAAGAAACTTGTTAGTTTAAATAGATTTAATGACTATGAGAATGTTTTTAAAGAATGGGAACAGCTAGGTATTATAGAAGAAATTAAAGAGGTTTCCAATATTTCTTATTTTTTACCACATCATGCAGTAATTAAAGAATCTAGTGTCACTACTAAGGTCAGACCAGTTTTTGACGCCTCCGCAAAAGACAAAAATAACGTTTCTTTAAATGATTGTTTAGAAAAAGGACCGAATTTAATTGAATTGATCCCTACGATTCTGTTACAGTTCAGACTAGGTTCCATAGGTGTAGTTTCAGATATTAAAAAAGCATTTTTACAAATTAGCATAATAGACAGAGATCGAAATTATTTGAAATTTCTTTGGTGGGAAAATTACAAAAATTCTGTAATTAAATTCTTTAAACATTGTAGGGTTGTATTCGGCATTTCTTCTAGCCCTTTCTTATTAGCTGCTACAATTTTGTATCATTTGGAAAGAGTTCCAGATCATTTAAAAGAAACTGCCAGTAAACTAAAGCATGCCTTTTATGTTGATAATTGCATCACAAGCGTCAAAAACAAGACTGAATTGGAAAAGTTTATAAATGAATCTAAAATTATCATGTCGAGTGCACAGTTTGATTTAAGAGGTTGGGTTCACTCCTTCGGAGAGGCCAACCCGGATATCACTTCTCATCAGTCTATTTGTCCAGTACTAGGTTTATCCTGGAATTTTAAGAATGACACACTTTTTTGCGATGTAAATACTTTAGCTCAGTTAGGAGAAACACCTAATACAAGGAGAGGTTTGCTTTCGATAGCTAATAGGGTGTTTGATCCAATTGGATTTACGTGTCCAGTAACTTTAGTTCCAAAAATCTTACTGCAGAGTACTTGGAAATTAAGTATTGGGTGGGACAAAGAATTGCCTAAAGACATAATTGAACAATTTCAAAATTGGCTTAAACAGATTTCATGGTTGAACCTTTGTATAGTTCCGAGAATGCTCTCAGTACTTCCAATAGACAATGCGAAAAATGTAACGTTGCATGTATTTTGTGACAGTAGCAAGGTTGCTTATGCAGCGTGTATTTTTATTCGAGCAGAGTTTGCAGACAATACCTCTGTACAGTTAGTACAAGCAAAGTCGAGAATAGCTCCAATAAAATCGACCATCACATTACCTAGGTTGGAGTTGATGGCAACACTTATCGGTGTCAGATTATGTGAATCCGTAAAGAAAACTGATTTTTTCAGAGAGTTAGACACCTTTTACTGGTCGGATTCTATGGTAGCACTGACCTGGATCAAGACAAAAGAAAATTGGAACACGTTCGTAGGAAACCGCGTTAAAGAAATCAGATCTTTCACACGACCTGAGGAATGGTTTCATGTGCCAGGATCTTTAAACATAGCAGATTTGCCATCAAGAGGGTGTAGTGGTAAACAACTATTACAGTCACAGTGGTGGCAAGGTCCGGAATGGTTGAAATTACCAAACGAATTCTGGCCAAAATCGGAAATATCATGTAATGAAGAATTATTATATCTTGAGAAAAAGAAAGCCGTAGTTTCGACAGTATTATTGAAAAAAGAAAGATTTACAGATAGGTTTACTTATTTTTCTAAATATACAAAAATAATTCGAACGATTGGATGGATTTTTAGATTTTACAATAATGTAAGAAGAAGTAACAGTTCCTCTGGAGAATTGAGAAACGTAGAGATTACAAAAGCAGAATTTTGTCTATTAAAATTAATACAAGAAGAAAGCTTTGGAAAAATAGAAATGGATACTACTCATAATCTACAAGTTTTAAAAGGTAACGATGGATTGATCCGAGTAAAGACTAAACTCCTGTTCAGACAAGACACAAATCAATTTAGATATCCCGTTTTATTGCCGTATAATCATGAAATAGTTTTAAAACTTATATTTGAAAAACATTTAACTTCAGCACACGCAGGGGTTCAAACTTTATTATGCATTTTAAGAGGAGAGTTTTGGATTCTAAGAGGAAGGAAGACGGTAAAACAAATAGTATCCAAATGCAACATATGCAGACGTCACAGTCAGAAAGCAATAGAAACGCCATTTGCTCCATTACCAGAAAATAGAGTTAAAGATGCATCAGTTTTTGAAATTACAGGAATGGATTACGCTGGCCCGTTACACTTGAAGAACGGTGATAAGGCTTGGATTTTGATCTTCACTTGCGCAGTATATCGAGCTGTACACTTCGAACTTGTGAAAACATTATCAACTGAGGGGTTCATATTAGCATTGAGAAGATTCATTGCCAGACGAGGAAGAGTTTCAACTATATACTCTGATAATGGTACGAGTTTTGTAGGCGCAAGTAATCTTTTAAACAAAATCAATTGGGACGAAATTTTAAAATATTCTTCAGTTAAAAGAATTTCATGGATTTTTATTGCTCCTACCGCTGCCTGGTGGGGAGGATGGTGGGAGCGAATTGTTAGAATAACAAAGGAACTTTTAAGACGCAATCTAGGAAAGGCTTCAATTAACTATGAAGAAATGATGACTATTTTATGTGACTGCGAAGCGATTGTTAATTCTAGACCATTAACATATGTGTCAGAAAATGAAGAATTGGTACCTTTAACGCCCTTAAATTTTCTACAAACTCTTTCTACAAGCGAGGCACCAGATCTAGATTATATAGATAGGCAGAAATTAGTTAAAAGACACAAGTACCTACAAAAACTGAGAGATGGTTTAAGAAGTAGATTTAGAAGGGAATACCTAGCAAACCTGATACATCATGGTAAAAGAAAAACGTCTGAAATAAAAGTAGGAGATGTAGTTCTTTTAGAAGTAGACAATAAAAAAAGAGTTAATTGGCCATTAGCCAGAATTATCTCGATACACCCTGGTAGAGACAATATAGCACGAGTAGCTCGAATTAAAGTCAATGGAGTGGAATTACTAAGACCATTCCAAAGACTGTATCCATTAGAAATGTCCAAGACAGAAACCAAAAGCAGTCAGCTGAATAAAACTTACCCCGAAAGCCAGTCCAAGACAAACACGGAAGAGGAGAAAGGCAAAGAAAACAGCATTGAAGAAATTACAAAACTAAATCCTGAAGTAGAACAGAATCAAGGAACAAGAAAGAATAAGGAAATTACGACAAGATATGGAAGAATAGTAAAGAGTCCCGACCGTTATCAAAGTTAAAATAATACGTTTGCAATTCGGTAATTGCAAAGGTGGGAGGATGTTGTAAATAAGTTGAACTCACCTTGTATTTTATAATTTTTGAGTTACCCTCATATTTATTTTGGATAGGTGTGACATCAATTTTTATAGAATTGTCAGAAATATATTTTGTATTGTCATAGTTAATATATTTTATATTTTCGATTAATAAATCCTTTCTTCATAAACGTCCAATTAATTATACCAGTAATGTGTTGAAAAAAATTTTTCATTATACGAATTTGTCTCATTTCTGTTAAAACTCGGCCTAACATGTACGTTACGGATAACGTAAACGTTCAATCATAGCACCCAATGGGTCCTATGATTGAACGTTTACGTTATCCATAACGTACATGTTAGGCTCAGTTTTAACAGTAATTAGGCAAGTTCGTATGATGAAAAACGGTTTCCAACACATTACTGTTATTTTCCGCCTGTTATGTTCTAATTTAACAGTTTTCCATCATACAAACTTGCTTAGTTACTGTTAAAATTCGACCTAACATGTACGTTATGGATAACATAAACGTTCAATCATAGGACCCAATACGTGTATGTTCCACTGATCTGTATTTTACAGATCAGTGGTATGTTCCCCTCTAGTCAGGCAACCACCTTTACAGTTTACACAAAAATGAGTAGAGATTCTCATGAAGGTCCTCCAAAAAATCGAAGAAGGAAACTAAAATATAACAAATGTTTCACCGATTATTACAATTCTTGTATTTTAGTGGGATTTGTATAGTATAATGAAAAAATATACTCGCATAACTGAAGAAAAGACGACTTTTATCAATAACTTTATTTCATGAAAAAAAGTGATCTTTTTTTCTTTAATGCAGATTAAAGTAAATCGTTGTATATCTAATAATTTTAGAATAAAAATATTACCTATTAACTGGAAATCGCAAACCGTAAATATATTTGGTGCTAGTAGACATATTAATATACGTTCTGTATAATTACAGAAAAAGAAGAAATTAATACTCCACTGTCAATGATGACATTGAGCACCAGACTCTAGGTAATAAACGATTCGGAGTTCACAGCCGAATAATACCGATTTAATAAAACATTGCCAGATTGAGGAAAAAAACATAAAATACATTAATTTGAACAGAAGAATTTATATTGTTAATTGCATAAATATTTATAATTAGATAAAAAAGATGTAATCATGAGCGAAAACTATCACTATCGGAATTTAAATTTTTATACTTCTTTTACTTTCAACAAACGGAAAACAATATTATAGATTAAAAAATGAATTTAGTAAAAAGTAAAGACAGTTTTTATTGCACAGCAGGATGGCAAAAAATACATTAGTGGCAAGCGAATTTTTATGTTACAAAATATGATCCACAAAAAAATAATTCATATATTATATAGCTCCCATATATTTCTATAAACGCTCTCTGTTTCGGGTGTTTCAAATAGCAAATTTTTTTTAACAAATGTCGGTATTTAGGGCCGATTCCCCAGTTGTTTTAAACTAATATTAAAATGACATTTTTACATTAACAATGTCATTTTATTTTAATCTTCGTTTAACACAAGTGGAATCGGCCCTAAACAAAATTGTTGAAATCATTTGCCAACGTTGCGTAGAAAATCCGAACTTCGGGAATCATCGAGTCTCAAATCGGCTCGTTATCTAGAGTGTATTCATTACAAAATCTGTCAAAGTCAAATTATTAATTCAGGAGGGTGTATTGTTGTCTTTTTATCATTAGATAACTTAACGATTTAACTCCAGAATGGTAAGTAATTCAACCCCTAAATTAAAAACGGAATTATACGTAGTATTACTGTTTACAGCCAACAACACCGCCTCAAATCTCTCCCGTAGAGGAACAAGAAAAATATTTACATGACGCCCTGGGTATCGTCAAAGCACAAGCTTTCCAAATGAAAAGGTCTTTGGACAAAAACAAGCTGATGGATGCTCTCAAAAACGCATCTGCGATGTTGGCCGAGCTTAGGACTTCTCTACTGTCGCCCAAAAGTTACTACGAACTTTGTAAGTTTTTTTTAAATTCAAAAAAGTTCACACTTTTTTTTAGTCTTAGCTGCGATGAGTTATAGATCATCGAGAGTAAGTTATTACTGGTTTAATTAATTTAATATTATGTGCATATTAAAAACAGTACCTAATACAGAATAGAAGAAATATAAGTATTCATTAATATCATATTTGTCCACTACTTAACCCTAGAATACTGTCGTTATATTAGAAGATCGCTTATAGCAGGGATATAAGTTGGAAAGGCTTTTGATAGGTAGAGAGCTGGCAAATTTCGAACTCAGTCAGAGGACTTTGAGAATATTGCGGTAATGTTGGTTCCCCATTGTCATATCACTCATATCATAGAATAAAAATAATACCAAACATTTTAAATTATTACTGGCAGAATCGGGCAAACGATTCTTTTTATGGGCTACAAATAATTATTGAAACAAGTAATATCCCAAATCATAATTCTACAAAATTTCAACAGCTATTCACAGTTTATTTATACTCTATACCTGAAATTGCTAGTAGCATCTATAAGATAATATTCTATGCCAATGTTTCGTGTTCATTTAGGTTAACTGTAATCATGACCTTTTTGCCAAAAAATATAACTAAAGATTTCAGCAATCTTGTCAAACTAAATCGTCAATCATTAGTACAAACAAATTGTAGCAAATTCTTAGGTCTAATTTTAGATGGCAAGTTGATGTGGGAGAGCCAAAATACACTGTAAATACTGATGTTTTAAAATTTGGTATGGTTGATTCAATTCTCTCATATGGTCTGATTTTTTGGGGCAGCTCAGCTCATCTGGAGAAGGTATTTTGTGTACAAAAAAAAAGTTATAAGATGCATATCTGGGGTTTCAAGAACAACTAGCTGCAAACAAATTTTTCATGATTATAAAATCTTAACCCTTTCATCTTTGTATACATATATACTTAATTACTTACTAATACTTAATATAAAAAACAGGAATTCCAACTATTAGACTAGAGACACTCTCGCAATTATAACACACACAATCACAAAAATCTACAACAGTTTTTCTCTAGGCTTTCAGTTGGGCAGAATTTCGACACCTATAGAGGTATTGAATGTTTCAATAAATATATTCATATTGATGGCAATGAAAAAAAATATATTCAAATATAAGCTTTATGCATATCTTTCATCTAAGACATATTATTCCTATGTAGAATTAATGACTGATACACAGTGATCTGTCATGGTATCTCTTTATTATATTTTATAATATTTTAAACTTTAATATTTTTACCTTATTTGTAACATTTTTTTTTTTTAATTGTGTGTGTAGACAAGGCTAATAGGCCTTAAATGTTTATATTTTTGAAACTCTTAAAGATTATTGTAAATAGGTATGTATGTCTCAGAGCTGAATAAATATTATTATTATTATTAATAGCTTCTTGGAACAATTGTCGAATCCTGTGTATGAAGAGGGAGAATGTAAGATTTACGTATCATAAGAAACTAAAACAAAAATTCAAAAAACTAACATTAATTTTAATTTAAAAAAAGCAGTTACAAAGATTTTTTTTAAGAACAAGTACTTAGGGCATATTTTAACTTTGTGCTTGCCACATATTGTGTTTTGTATTTTGAACAGTATGTTGTAGTTATTCTCTTCTTAGCGATAGAACCGAAGGGGAAACCACTAAAGTCAAAACGTACCCTTATTTCAGAAATCACCTAAAATTGATTGTATATGATTTCGGTAATCTCGGCGAAAATCTTCCTTAATTTTATATCACTTTTTTTGGACTCTTTTCTTGTTTTTTTTTTTTTATCCACAAGCAGCTGCATTTATATTTTTGTGATTTTGGAAATTAGAGAAAATTTATAGCGATTTGTAATTTCAAGCGAAAATGTATCTTCCAAAGAAATTCAATTAAGTGAAAATATATAGGGTGTTTCGTTTAAAAAACATAACTGATAAGTAACACATTTATCGGACACACTGTAGTTTTAAAAAATAGCTTTAATTTCCATTTACAACTTTTATTTGAGACATTTTTTCCTATTACAAACAGGGTAGCAGCTATATATCTTTTCTCCCTTGAGCCATTCCTTACTTTTCACGTCAACTGTCAAACACTGGATTATATTATTTGTAAGCAAATTTAAAGATGTTTTTTTGAATAATATTGAGAAAACAAATTTTTATTGTATCCAAAAAATACAAACATTGGGAAAGAGTATAACTTACAAATACAAATTAAAAATGTAAAATGGTACCATATTGGAGTATACTTCGAAATAAAACAATAGAAATGCAATTAATTATTGGCTGGAAGCCTCCTATTATTTATTAGTACTAAGATTATACAAAAGGAATTAATCACAGCTTAAAATTAAAAAATGAATTCAATTATTAAGTAAATACAGTTTTCTTTCTTAACCTCTATTGGAATGAGCAATTTAAACTGATTTTATATTTTTACTAGATCTAGAATATCTAGATAATTCAAGCAGCCTAACATAATCTGGTATCCTATTATAAATATAATCCATCTTTGACATACACAGAAACACAATCCATTTTTGAACTTATCTGTGGCATATATATAATAGTTAGGAATATTAATACATTCTCTCAACCTTTTCATAGAACAAATTATTTAAATTAATTTATTATTATTATTTAGGATTTTATTACTATTTAATGTATGTAATATGTATTATCTGTAATTGTATTGTTTTAATGGGCTCTGACCCGTAAATAAATAAATAAATATTTTAATTATTTGTAAATCTAGTAATGAGTTATGTACCTCATGTCGATATGTAAAGGCTGAGTTTACACCGATATTCAATTAAGAGGAATGAAGCACAGGCAAGACCCAATTAAAAAAGCATAAAAAGCGAAAATATAGGTAAATTAGTTTAGGACATGGTGAATGCCATTTTAAATCTGTCAAATGATTGACCAATTATTAAAATAACTAAATCTTGAATTAGAACAGAAAATATTTTATTCTTTGACTCTCTTTAATGGTTAAAAGGGTACATTATTTAACTAACGGCCTTTAGTTATCGATTCTCGAATTGAAAGATCTATCATTTCAATAGAAGGAATTACTTTTTTAGTGGATCAATCGTTTAAACATATTCTTCAAATAATCATTTCTCTTGAAAATCAAGCATATATACTGATATATGCCTTGATTTAAAGTAGGAGAAGCGGTCCCATCAAGAAAGCACCTACCCTCTGGATCTAAGATTATATTCATTATACTGTACCTCTAGAGATCCTAGGATTATGGTCCCATTTTTTGAAGTTGTTTCACGCACTTGCTCAGATTAATAGATTGTAACGATAGTCTTTGTCTATATCTTTAATGGCCAAAAAGGTACATCATTTACTAAGGACCTTCGGCGGATTTTTTTGAACTACCCTTATTTTAGATACATACTTTTATATATACACCTACAATAACTGTCATACTCCATGAACTTTAGTAAAATAACCTGTCAAATGATTGACCAATCATGTAATGGCCAGATCTTGAAGTTGGATACATGTTGATGTTAAAACACGAAACATTAATGCTTTTATCTAGCTCTTATAATAGTGAAAGGGTACCTCACTTTTTAACGACCTCTGGTGGATTTTTTGGAACTATGTACTGGTTGGTGCCATATCGTCTTTTGTTTTTTTTATGGGATTTGAGGGAAGTTGAAACACCTACAATAATGTCGTGGTTTAGGACAATGTTGAATTCGACTTGTCTACAGAAAAATCAAAATTATTAAAACTGTTTTTAATAAAATCATTACCTTGCTGAAAAAAAATCATCGTGATCCTATAATACAAGTGATTCAGGTATACGAAAGAGCTATAGGGAATCACAAGGTATTAACGAGTCAACACTTCAGAAGGTAATGAAAGACCATAACGTAGCAAAACAGAACTTAAAAAATATTCCAAGGGAAAAATTGAAAACCTTCCTGATGGAAAGAAATTTCAAATTCATTGATATCAATAATGACATGATCGCACCGAAGAAGTAGAGAGGTTAGAATGATAAGGTGCCGTCTGAGCTTCCATGTAGAAATTGTGCATGATTTAACCTTCTACTCTGACACACGTAAATGACAAGGAAAGGCACAGTAAACAAATTCCAGGCTTGGCTTTATTCAGCCATTATGTTCATGATCAGCTTTGTTTTTTGTTTGTGTTGTGACTGCTGTAAGCTTTTTTGGCATCGGTTATTTATTGTGTGACATGCTTCAGGCTTCATCTACTGTGAAGGGGGAAGTCGTGTTTGGCGCTGTGATGATGAAATTAGAGTAAGGGTTGCTCTGGCGCTAGTTTCGCTAACGCAGTTTGCTCTGCGACTCTAGTACAACAGAGTGTACTCAAAGTAGACTCAGTGGAGTTAAAATGTTTCAGGCGATCACCGCTAATAGGCTAGTCACTAACAATACAGTAAATGGAACTCTACACTACCTCATACTCTGTACTGTACGGTACCCTGAAATAAAACGGTTGAGATCCGGTAATAAAAGAAAAGAAACACAAGAATTATTAACAAAATTATATTTTAAAATAAAATAAAATCACTATAAATACTAGAAATACTATAAAAGGTACCACCGGCACTCCCTGTATAATGAAAAATGAATTTACAATTAAATTATTTGCTTAATCACAGAGGTTGAATAAAAACAATTATTAAACCGAAAGAAATAAACAAATTAAACGGTAATAAAGGCACTCCCTGTATAATAGAAAATGAATTTTCAACTAATTAATTGTTTAATCTCAAAAGTTGAACAATAATAATTATTAAGCCAAAAGAAATGAACAAATTGTATTGTATGGGTATTAGTTCAGTCTGGAACCCTATTGCATATTTTCCTAAACTCAGCGAAATCGTTGTTTTCGACTTGGATTCATAGATTCCAGCACCGGCTCCTTCCTTGGTTTCTGAACCGTCTGTGTACCAGACGAGTTCAGCCTGTACCGGAGGTCCCTGTTT